GAACGGGATGGGACAGAAGCAGAAGAAGGTTTTTTAAAGAGACAGAGGACAATTTCAAGGCGTTTAGAAGAGGAAGTGATGAGAAGATAAGTTTATTTTCTATTTAAACATAAAAACAGCATTTTAATAACAGCTAAAGGTGACATAGATACTTTATTATGGTATAGTATTTAAATATATGCCTGAGAAACACATAATATTGCCCCTTTCATCATTTTAAATTGTTATTGACTTAAATGTGTTTCTTGGTATCTTATCGTTTGTTTGTATTTTGTGAAGGCTTAAAAGATAAATAATAAATGCAAGGAAGCAGTGGGGTAATATTTCATTTTGTTGACTTTCTTGCTCAGGGGTGTGAAATCAAATCAAAACAAACAAACAAACAAAAAAACAAACAAACAAAAAAACAAACACAAACAACATTTATAATAGTGGACCAGATGAAATGTTAATGAATGCAAGACTTGGCCAGCTTGCCATGAGTTTGACGAGTGTTGTAGATCAGGGGTTCTCAAGCCATTTGGGTCTGGGAACCACTTACGGGGGCGAAAGAAATTTCATGGACCCCCTCATAAACCCCATGCCGTTTTAAAAGATACTTTATTGTCATTTCAACCCCTAAACGCCATGGGAATATATATTTTCATTGTTTATTATGTGTGTTTTATTATTAGTTCATTGTTCTCCATGCATTTTTAAAAATAAAAAACAAATTAACATTTTAGTAAATATTTTTGAGGACCCCCAAGATACCTCTTGCAGATCCCTTGGGGTCCAGGGACCCCAATTTGAGAACCTCTGTTCTAGATACACCAATTTACCTGGTAAAGCCAAAAAACTGATGTAAAAGAAGAAAAACAAACACATTTGCATATATTTATTTATTTATATATTTTCATGTGCAGGTTTCTATCCCATCTTGTAGTCAAATGGGTGTTTACAGCTTGAAAACTTGCTTTTTTTGGTCATGATGGTGACGTGAAATTCTTCACATTCTACGTTAACGTGACACCGCCGCTGCTGTGGCGAAGCCCCGCCCTTCCCGCAGTCAACAACTGGATTCCACAGCAAGTTGCGTTCTCCGTAGCTGCCTGCTTTCGCCAGCATGCTAACGATAAGTAAATGTGTTCGTAAACGGGTAACTTAACCTGGAAGGACTTTTACTTGTTTAAGACGCGTTTCGTTTATGCCTCGGATTTATATGTAAGCTTAAAAGCAGCTGCTTCGGCCCGGAGATCGATTGGAATACCGTGCGTTAGCCACATCCGAAACAAGCTAACAACTGGAATTACCGCTAGCTGACTTGCTGACAGCGGCTTAATTCGTCTATTTACCTGCAACGTAGCTGAGATTGATTGGGCACAACAATGAACCATCTTTGACATTGGTAAGTCAAGCTAATCGCATTAGTAGGATAATTATTTTTTGGCATTTTTCTCTTTTTTTGCATGCTAACATCGGCTTGTTTGTAGCCGCAGCTACACGCACAGAGCCACGCCTGGACCATTTAAATCGCCGAACACATTCCTCGCGATATTATGAGCTAGTACTGCTTTAGCGTGTTCATGTTTAGGTATTTAAAGTGGAGTAACAGTTTTGTTTTGTTCAACAGAGTACCACTGAGGTTCTGTTGTTTGTAACAACGGAGTTACCCGAACCCTCATAAAGTGGGGTTTGGTTGCCATTTGAAGAAGGTGGAAAGTCAGCTTTCTCAGCTGGTTCCGATCCAGCACAGCTGTCGATATGATGCCGGTAAGTTCAGACAAACCACGTCTTTTTAATCAGACAATAGGTCTTCCAACTCCATTCATGTAAAACTGTCTTCTTAATAATCGATTAATTATTATTAAACCTAATGTTTATATTGTACCTGTTTATGTTTGACTAAAAAGTTGCATGAACTGTCTGACTCTTTAGTTGCAGTTTTCTAATGGCAGTAGAAAGTGCATCACAAACTTGAGAAACACTTTTTATGTGGTAGAGCTGTTTTCTTTGTGATAATGATTTTGCCAGTGTCTGTTTTGTTTGCTGGTAACTTTAGCTAAATATCTCATGAACCATTGGATAGATGTCAATGAAACTCTCACAGCAGTCATTGGATACATGAGTACAACTGATTCATTTTTGAACTCAACTCAGTCCAAGCCACAGCTAATTGACCTTACTCAACACAAAGATGAGTTATTCAAATTAACAGTAATTGGGCTAAAATTTGATTTGGTAGTAGCTGAGACTTATCAACACATACTTTGAGTGCTAATGGCTCTTGCAAGATCTTCCAATAATGCATAAAATTGTGTTTATTTTATTTTTTGTGTCACTTCAGTAGAAAACAAAACCAAATATTATTAGTTTATTTAGTTTATTTATTTCTTCATCACCAGTGACTTTTTTTTAAGTGAAGAGAAAATAGAGAGAAAAACAGAGAGAGAAGTGATTAGAAAGATTGAAATAGCGATTAGAAGTATATTAAATATACACCAACAAAACACAGGACCACACACCCAGCATAAAATTGTGTTTAACCTCATTTACAAGGTTTTGCCAAAACACCAACATAATACGAATTCTAATATAAAATATCAGGCACGAGGCAACAACAGATATTGAAGAAAATCTACATCTTTTAATTTTTTATAACACAAAGGATCCAGTGTGTTTTACCAAGCTGATTTTCATGACTTTAAAAATGTTCAGTGCTTTGGAGGAGCTGACTATAAATGTTTTACTACACTAAAGTATTGTAATGGGTAAAGTACCAAAAATAGTTTGGTGTCTCTGTCGAACCCAGTTGCAAGTTTTTTTTTTTCCTCATTCTTTTGTATTTCACTGGTGTTGTTGTTTCAGGATAGTCTTTGTCCATGGAATAGAATACCTGAGTGGCAACCGCATAGGAGTGGTGCTTTGTTGGGACCTCTTTTGTTTTCTTTTAGTGCTGAGGAGGCAGTGCTGAATTGTGGGAAAAGAGCTTACTCTACTTTTGGAGGGTATCATGAACCTAAATGCAGGGTACATTTGCCACAGTCTCAGTAAGGTGTCATCAGAAATGGAAGTGACTCATTGTTGAACAGTTGACTTTGCTGATGAATAGAGTTTTGGTTGAAAATACAACATTCCTAAAAATGCTGTGGTAGCTCTCATGAAAGTAAATGTAGAAAACAACAAAAGCAAGGCTGGCTTTCCAGAAGTTCAAAGTAATTTTATATTTCCTGCAGTTTTAGATCTTTAGGCCTGACTGCGTCAATACACTAATGGACAGTTGTATCCTGTGGCATCAACAGGGTATCAGAGTCAAAGAGCCACTTGGTTCTCGCGTGACACTGCCAGCCAATGAAACCTTAGCAGATCTAGGTCTGTGTGGCTGCGTCAACTAACACTCTGTTGTTAAGGGGAATCTTTTGAGCTGAGTGGATTGTCAAGAGGCATTAATCTCACACAGTGGAACTGGGCAGAGCCTGATTTACAGGAAAAGTGAAGCTTATATCTTTTATTCTCTCCGTTCTCCACTTCCTGTAGGTTCACATGCCTAATAACTAAGTCACTGTCATAAAAAGCTTATCATTAAAAAGTAAAAATTAAACATGGAAGGCTAGTAATTTTAAGCCTTTCCACTCAAACTCGATATGAGTGTAGGTGAAAGGAGTCAGGTATTGATTTATTTAACAACTTACTTGTTTAAGACTGCAAATCCTTTATTGGTTGAAGAAATGTAATATTTATTATGCTCTCTAAATGTTGTCATCTATTGGACATCAGCCAGCTTTCACTCAAGATTCTCCCTTTTTATTAAGTGCAAATTAAACTGTTGGGTTTTGATGCTTCCTGTTTCAAGAGGTGGATTTTCTTTTGGTGTTTTCAGCTTAAAAGCAGAAACTCAAAAGTTTCTGCTTATGAGCCAACATTTTTGCTAAATCTAACTTGTTTTTTTAAACTGATAAATTCAAAGTAAAACATTCACTTCAAACTCAGTTTTTAGCTAAAAATATAGAAATTATACTTGCATGTTTTGTCTTCACTAGGACTACTTTTCAGTATCAAATTTCCATGTTTGGTGAGATGTTTTGGTTCATTTCACAATATCTGTCACAGTTTTAGCTTAATGGCTCGGTTACAGTCGTGCTTTTTGAGTTTCACACAAGTCTCAACTGACAGCGAGCACACCCTCACAAGCAGAGTAGGTGTTATACTTGGTGCTTACGTTGTTGTATTCTCAGAAAGGACATTTAGCAGTAAACTTTATAACTTGTGAAATGTGAAAAGGAGTGCGGCCTCGTAAGTGGGCCCATTGCTCTCCTCAAAAGGACACCGCGTTCTAACTAAGCAACCTTTGCGTCTTTGACTGCTCAAAGCCAGACAGTGTCCTAAGCAGTGCAAAGAGGTCTGTAATTCAACGCCACAGGCATCACACAGACCCACTGTCACAGAGTCTCATCACCATATTGTGGCGGTTGAGCAGGTTGTACCCTGTCAGAACCCCAACCATTGTACTTAAAGTTTTCCTTGTCAGGGAGTCAACTAGAGCCTGGTAAAAACCAGACCCTGTCCTTCACTTTGCTTCGTACGAGGGTCTGGACTTGCTGTTGTAGAGAAGCGATTCTTGCTGGAGGCGTGGCTTCTGCTGAAGCATGTGTGTGTATGTCGCTGTGACGGAGGCTAAGCTAAGAAGCTAACCGGTAATCGCGTGCGCTGTAAACAACTCTACTGAGAGGAGAGAAGTACCGAGCCGAACGAGACAACTGTAAATGAAAGCTGCTGCTTTGTCAGACAGATTTAATTTAATTTGGAAGCCTTATCAACACAGACTGGCTTCATTCACTTCCTCCACTGCCGTATGCTAAAACAACTAGCAGACACTGCGCAGAAAATTGAAATAGTTCAAAGCTCCGCTTCCTGTTTGCTGATTGGCCCAGGTAAAATAAACTACAAGCAGACACCACGCAGAAAATTGACGTTCTGTTCTCTGATTGGCCCAGCTAAAAATCTGCCAGCAAAATCCTTGTCAATGGGAGAAATCCCAGACGGAGCAGAGAAGATAAACTAGAATTGAGCGGAACTGCGTAGGAAGGCAAGGGCCAGGCTAACTAAGTCAACTATAAACCTTGCTTAAAGTGTCGATGACATAAAATTGTTGTGATAAAAAGGAATGCAATTTTAGAAAGAAAACATTTAACAAAATATTGCCAAAAATTTTTGGATATTCTTGGGCTCGCTCTTAAAATGCTTTCTAAATATGCCTTGACTGTAAAAGAAAGGTGATATAAAAAAGTCACTTGCCCACTAATCACAGCTTGAATCTAGTTTTATTAGTTTCAGCTAATTCATTTTATTGAAATAATGTGGCTGTTTGCACCATTTTATTCTCTAAGTGACGCACCAGTTTTGGGGTTTCAGCTAAGCAGAGCTTCTGAAGAAAAGATTGTGGCACTTTTTTCCCACAAAAAAAAAAATCACCTGGTTCTGACTCTTAGGTTTTAAAACATATATTTTGTACTCCCAGCTGTATTGGTACAGCCAACATACATTGTAAGACTGATCTATTTCTTGTCACGGTGTGATCACACTTCGACCTGCCTGACAGTCTCGGACAGCTCTTATTGGCAGCAATCACCACATTCCAGAGAAGCTATTGTCATCACCCTCTTCTTCCCTAAAGCTCTCTCTATTTTCCTCTCTATTATGGTTTGTTTTACTCTAGCTCTCTCTTCCCCCCTCCCTGCCTGAAGTGCACATACAGCTGGTGTTTCTTTTTTTTCCCCTCTGAAGTCTCCTCTGCAGCACTTCTCTAAAGCACGCACCACTGTCTGGTTTTCGAGGTCCGCTCGCGATGGCATAACTGTTAGGTCTTCATGACTGCAAAAGCTGCAGTGCGATGATGAAGAGGTTTGTGACTATAATGTTACGTGGCCTTGTCAGCCTCTCCAAGGAGAACCCCATTTGGGCAAAAGACCACCACCACCAGCCGCCTAAAAAGAAGACCAGGAGGAAACGGAGGACAGCGAAGAGAAACAAGAGTATGGGCAGACGCAACTTAGTGAGGGCGGTTGGTATTTCTCCGGTGGTCTCTCAGCAAGATTACTGGAGCTCCTGTCTCTTTTAAGCTGCTATTAGCTTAATGCATTTTTATGGTTTCTAAATATGTGAGTAGTTTAGTAAGGCCCGTTATGGAGTTTTGCGATCAATTCAAGTCCACATTTGTTCCTCATTTGCCTGATTGAATGTTTGATTTGATGAATTGAAGGGTTGTTATAATAGTGGTAGACTGATGAGACTATTTCAAAATGCTGCATTAATTTAAGACTTGTAACATGTATGCATTAACCGTTTGTGTTTTTTTTACTTAGATGAAGTTGGCAACAGTAAAAACAGAATTATGTACCATTTCTTTAAGATGTTTCCAGCATTGTTACTTTTCTTGCAAAACTTGTTTGTATCATTAATTCATGAATTATCCATAGCTTCACATTAACACAATTTAAAAAAGAGCATAAAACCATAGATGGTATCTGCATGATTTACCAAGGAAAGCCAGAATAAAATATTTGCTAATGCCCCATTTGAATGAAGGCTCACACTCTGAAGAAGAAGCGACGGTATTATTTCATTTTTGCTGTGACTGAAAATGTCAGCGAATCACACGGTTGTATTAATTTGAAAACTGAGTCACTTTGTCTCAGAGAATCTCCTGGAGTCACGGTTTATAGATAGCTTTGTTACGAAAGCTAAATTTAATCTGACAGTGTGGTGGTATTTATTGCTGTGTGGGGGAAAAATGCGTTAGAGCTGTATAATGATAATTGTCATTAAAACAAAAACAAATTGTGCAAGGGTATAATACTGCATTTTATACTACACTCACCGGCCACTTTATTAGGTACACCACGCTAGTAACGGGTTGGACCCCCTTTTGCCTTCAGAACTGCCTCAATTCTTCGTGGCATAGATTCAACAAGGTGCTGGAAGCATTCCTCAGAGATTTTGGTCCATATTGACATGATGGCATCACACAGTTGCCGCAGATTTGTCGGCTGCAAATCCATGATGTGAATCTCTCGTTCCACCACATCCCAAAGATGCTCTATTGGATTGAGATCTGGTGACTGTGGAGGCCATTTGAGTACAGTGAACTCATTGTCATGTTCAAGAAACCAGTCTGAGATGATTCCAGCTTTATGACATGGCGCATTATCCTGCTGAAAGTAGCCATCAGATGTCKGGTACATTGTGGTCATAAAGGGATGGACATGGTCAGCAACAATACTCAGGTAGGCTGTGGCGTTGCAACGATGCTCAATTRGTACCAAGGGGCCCAAAGAGTGCCAAGAAAAGATTCCCCACACCATGACACCACCACCACCAGCCTGAACCGTTGATACAAGGCAGGATGGATCCACGCTTTCATGTTGTTGACGCCAAATTCTGACCCTACCATCCGAATGTCGCAGCAGAAATCGAGACTCATCAGACCAGGCAACGTTTTTCCAATCTTCTCTTGTCCAATTTCGATGAGCTTGTGCAAATTGTAGCCTCAGTTTCCTGTTCTTAGCTGAAAGGAGTGGCACCCGGTGTGGTCTTCTGCTGCTGAAGCCCATCTGCCTCAAAGTTCGACATGTTGTGTGTTCAGAGATGCTTTTCTGCCTACCTTGGTTGTAACGGGTGGTTATTTGAGTCACTGTTGCCTTTCTATCAGCTCGAACCAGTCTGCCCATTCTCCTCTGACCTCTGGCATCAACAAGGCATTTCCGCCCACAGGACTGCCGCTCACTGGATGTTTTTTCTTTTTCGGACCATTCTCTGTAAACCCTAGAGATGGTTGTGCGTGAAAATCCCAGTAGATCAGCAGTTTCTGAAATACTCAGACCAGCCCTTCTGGCACCAACAATCATGCCACGTTCAAAGGCACTCAAATCACCTTTCTTCCCCATATAGTTGCCGCCATGTGATTGGCTGAGTAGAAATTAAGTGTTAACGAGCAGTTGGACAGGTGTACCTAATAAAGTGGCCGGTGAGTGTACTTTTATTTTAAATGGGCAAAAGCAAGTGCCTTGGTAGGATAAACAATTCCTTCTTTTTGATTTGGGTTCATGAGTTTCTCATTTCGTTTAAAGTTTGTGCATTTTAAGGTAATGAATTATTGATTGACTTTATTAATAGTTTATGCAACAGTATATAGACAGAATATACTTGTTGGCCTGAAGTTAGCACCTTTCTTTCTTTACCTGGCCTGAAATAAAAAAAATGTTTTGTACCTTTTTTTTTTTTTTTTTTTACTAGACATGCTCTAAAATACTCAAAGACAAAACAGTCTGAGTCTAAGTGAAAACATGAATTATAAAACATCAACTTTGATTTTTTTATTTTGCAAAATCAACTTCGTCTGAATATTAAATAAAATTTGAGTTGAACTTAAGTCTAGTTCAGACCTAAAGATGGTCAGTGGTGTTGCCTGACACATTTTATATTTTGATATAATTACCTTGTAGTTTTTCAGTCTTTTTCACCATTTTTTGTTAAATAGGGAGGATACTTTTGCTCACTATTTTTACTTTAATCTTCTAGGATTTTATGAGCTGTAAAGAGTTATGCAATAGTTTCTTGAGTCCAAGCAGTTTAGCTTTTGCTGGCATTTTGTACAGCAATTCCTCTCTTACGCAATATTTGGGATATTTAATATTTGATGTAAAGTTAGCATGTTTCAGCCTGACAGGTGTTTACAGAACACAACCTGTCATCTCAAAATTACACTTTAATTGGCCTCAATATTGGCTTATTGGTCTCTAGTCTCCAATTTTTGTCTCGTATCCTAAAATGATCCATGCAATTTATTTGCAAATTGTTTTTGCTTTATGACTTTATATGTAAGTGCGAGCAGAAACAATGTTGTTTTTCTAGTACAAACTGTTCAACACCAGAGGAGCCGATAATCTAAGTAAAGAGAAAAGTGACACAGACAGGCTTTATGTTCATCAGAAGCTCAAACTAACGGTCCCAATGGTCGGCAGCAAAACGTAGCATCAGCAGTGCAGTGGGCTTTGTTCATCAATAGCGTGGGTTTAGCTTCATTATTAAACTACAGCGTCAGGGAATGGTGTATTTTGTGATTTCCTCTGCATTATTAAGCATGCTATTCATATGTCAACTGATTCTTTATTCTCCCTTTGACTGCTCTCGTGGGTCTTTCAGATGATACTGACGGTGTACCTCAGCGATGGGGAACAGGCTGTGACGGAGGTACCCATCACACCTGAGACGACGTGTCGCGATGTCGTGGAGTTCTGCAAAGAGCCCGGCGAGAGCAGCTGCCATTTGGCTGAGGTCTGGAGAGGCAACGGTAAGATTTGAAGCGAAGCTGTGTCGGGTTTGATAGAGAGGTCTTTTACCTGCTGATGTGCATAAAATGTCCTGAAACTCAACCTTAATGCTCATAGTTCTTTGCCACGTGGTACAAGAAGAACATTGGGGAAATGATGGTCTAATCTAAAAACTCATCATTGCTGACTTGACATTTTGCTTTAATGCACCAAAATTAAATTTTACGAAGCCTTTGGCTATTTCATTTTCATTCTGAAAAGGCACCCTATTTTTTGAAGCCTCCGATGAGTTAAGCTGGGTCGTGCATAACTTACCTGAGTGAAACAGAGCATGACAGACATTTATTTCCAAGTAAGGTCAAATACAAATTCAAAGGTCAGAGGAGAGTTATATGCTCAAACAGTTGACAGCATTGTCACAATGGTTTTTTTCTGTTTCAAACAATTTGCGTCAGCCATAATTCTAATACAAACAGGTTTCTTTTGCACAGGGTCCTCTACTTACTTCAATATCCAAGCAAAAACTCTTTTTGTTCGTCAAAACTCCTGAAATGTGTCTGATTGTTGTTTTTTTCCCGTCATTGTCCTTCTGCATTTGTGGAGCTTTAATATTAAATGCAAAATATGAACTTTTGTGAACTTTTACTGTAGGTATAAAAACGATTTATTTTTCGTGAAGAGGATTTTCTGGTGGGATTCTTTATGTAGGAAAATGAAGCACTGCATTGTGCTCAAGGGTTCAGTTTTATTATTGTTAAATGAAAAAAATAAGGACAAAATTGGGCTAGTTTTTAAAATAGAACAGTAAGAATTTTTTTATGCTTACAGTATTTGACATGCTAGGTTAAAAAACAACTTTAATTAGAAAAGAGGAAGCTTTATACATTTTAATTTGGTAACATATCCAACCCCCTTCCTAAAATGTGCCTTACTCTTAATTTTTTAATAAATGTACCAATTAAACTTCCTTCCTCTTTTCAAAACTGTCCTGGTAACTAGCATTCAGCTTTAATTTTTTGACTCATGAGACACTCATAAATTGATCTCAGCTAATCAGTTGTTTCCTCTTTTCATTAACTGTTTTTCAGAGCGGGCGATCCCCTTTGAGCACATGATGTATGAACATCTGCAGAAGTGGGGGTCTCGAAAACAAGAAGTCAAGTTTTTCCTTCGTCACGAAGACTCACCTACTGAAAGCAGCGATCAAGGTTCAGACTGTGCAGACCTTTTTACTCCTTGGTGTGCTGCATTCAACTGTTACAAATTATCATTCCTGGAAAATGTTATTTCTGATTAATTTAAGAGAAAGAAAATCTGATATTTATTAATTTTTAGATACAGTGGGGAAAATAAGTATTTAGTCAGTCACCAATTGTGCAAGTTCTCCCACTTAAAAAGATGAGAGAGGCCTGTAAT